CCCCAAAACCCCAAAACCCCAAAACCCCAGCAAGAGGAGCAAATATTGAATTAATATTTAACATACTCTAAAAATATTTGAGCTTAAGAAGTTTGTATTTTTGAGAATAGCTCTGCATGATAATTCCTGATTTCTGGGGTTTAATCTAGTCCTTGCTTGAGTACGATGAATTCATTAAAGTTCAAAATGATTAACAAAATTGTTGTATTCTTAAGGAGATAGCATATATGCCTTTAGGAAGCAAACCTTGGCCCGGTATTTCTAGGTCCTGGCTTGAAAGAGCTCTACATCTTCTTTCCTCTTATGGAATGCAGAGAGCTTAGCGATTATTTTAGGGTTTGCTTGATTCACTGTACTCTTACAGTAACCTGATCGTTCCCACTGGTTTTTGGACACCATAATATCGGAATTACTTCTAATTAGTAGGCATTTATGAGATCTAATTATCTTCATGTATTACTAGGTAATTCTTCACAAATGAATTTTTCTTTCACAAAATGTGCTGAGTATTAGAGCTTAGACAGTGAAATAATCTCAAATTCATTTAGATACATGATGCAAGGGTTTTAAACTCTTTAGGGAGACTTCTATGTAAAAATAAATACAATCTTGCTCAGCTGACGGGATCACTGATGAATAAAACTGATATCTTAATGCTAACATCTCGAAATTTTGAGTGTTTTGAAAGATGAGTGATAACTATAAATCGAACTTTTCCTTACTGCAAGCGTTGATTCTCTAATTCTTATTTTATCTTTTATTATTATTAAGCACTCTTTGCTATGTTCAGTACAATTTCTTGGAAGAGGGAGTTATATACATACACCAATCTGCTTGATTTTCACAATTATGCTTTCTGATTGTTTCACTATGAACAAAATAGTGTCCTCTTAACCAAAATTTTGAAGTTCTTGCCACAGTGAGTTTCATAGAGGTAAATATTCTGGAAAACATGCTTATTGTCATTTTCTCTGCTAAAATATTTACTGCTTGTCGTTCAAGAAAGCTGGTGACTTAGTAAAAATATTAATGAATTTATTCAAGAATTTGGAGATTCAAGATATCGGGTTATTATCTATATAAGTGGATGCTTAGAGATCACTATGCAAAATGTAGGAGGTCTTCATCTCTGGAAAATTTTGGTAATCTTATTTTTCCTCCTTAGCCTAATGTATTAATAACTATTTTTGAAAATTTCTGAATCAAAATTTTTGAAGTAGCAAGCTTTCCTAGTGGACAAATAATTCTTAATAATATACCACAATTCATATCTGTACAAGAGCTTTGATCTGAGTAAATTCCATTTTCCCAGGCTCGAGCTGAAGTTTTCGACCAAAAAACTTATGCTATGGTAGCCATTTTCACCCTTGAAGTAGCACAAATTTAATAAAGTCATAGTTAGAGGAAATTGATAACCATCATTAGATTTACACTTATTAGATTAAGAAGCATTAAGTTATATTCAGGTTGCCGTGCTAGGAAGATATATGCAACAGGAAGAATCAATGTTATTAGTAAATCAAGCCAAATAATATGAAGTTTTGGCCAATTTTTATCAAATTTATCAATAATACTATCTTCTGATCGTCACTTGTAGGTTTTTACTTTCTATTGGATCTATCTCGATTAGTTTTGGCTTCAAAATTCTATTACTGTAGGTAACTAAATCAAAATCGCTTACTGAAATGATAGAAAGTTAAATTCCTGCTTTTAACTTAGTGGTCCATGAATTTAGTTTCTACTAGATTGATGCCAAACTCTGGTTGATTGGCTTCAAAATAGCCTAAATCTGTTGAATATAGTGTGTACAGAAGCAAATTATTTACAATTAATCCTACTAAGTTCAAGTAATCCTAGTGACTTTTATCCTAACCTTAGGGAGTCTGAAAATTGAGGTCGACAAGCAATAAAATTGCTTAGCCTGAAAAGCCAGCTTTGAACTTGAAGTATGGTAATTAGTCCCTGAGCTATCATGGTATTCTTCTTTATGTGAGGTTTCTTAGACTGATACACAGCTCCAGTCGGTTTTTCTGAATTCAACTGTAAATTCACAGCCTCCAGGTTTCTAGTACTGTCACTAAGATTATTAACCTGCCAAGGGTATAGTGCATAGTTTCAGTGCTCCATCTACATATTATAAGTCTTATGTCATTGAATACGGAAGATCTATATTTGAATGGATAAATTTTATTAGATATTTTATCTCAGTGCTTTTTTAGATTTTATAAGTTAAAAATTCTCGCAAAATTTAGAGGAGTTTGGCCACTTCCATCATAGAGATTTCGACTCCTTCACGATATTCCCAACTAGACTCTAGAGGACTTCATATCAAGCATTTCGTTGATATTTCTACTAAACTACCAAATACATATTCAGAAGCTGGTATCAAGAAGATTAGAGTAGAAATATATCCAAAGTTGATTTGCACACTTCTAAATCAAATTGCATCTTTGGATTTACTTTCGCTCAAAGAAGTAATCTTTATGCAGCTTTAGATATATTTCAAAACCTAAAGCATCAGGCATATGGATGCTCTTTTTTATCTACTTTGGAGCCTTAGTTTTTAAAGATTTTTAAATCCAAGCTGATTTTAACTATTTGCTAGCTAATTTTTCCAGGCATCCTAGAAGAAAATTGAAATTAAGCTTTAGCGACCTAAGACGCTTTTTATCAGCTGTTGTCATTCTGTGTATAACCTGTACCATTAATGATGGTATTAAGAATAAATAATATCCTTTGAGACTTAAAATTTATGCGAATTATGCCAGATCAGATGTTAATTTAGAATTACATTGAATTATTACCAGGAAGTAAAATTTATTAGTAATTTCAGTCTTATTCGTATAAGAAGTTTATTAAAATTAGCAGCATGGTCATATGAAGTTACGATTTTATTAAAAACAAGCATAATTTAGCTCCGCAGGGAATCTTAATCGATTATAAAATGGCTGAAAGGTAGTTTTTGTGATACCTATCTGAAAATTCTGTCATTTTATTTTTAGATCTACCTTTTTAGAGATGTGGTTTCTATAAATGTTCGTCTAGAGATGATAAAATCTTCGCAGATTTTTTCCTAAACAATCTCTATGAGTTGAGAGTTAGCACTGCTTATGCTAAACTGTCCTAGCATTTCATTGCCCTTCATAATTTTGGATTGTACATCCTAGTCGAAATGCACTGACATATTCAAAGAAATTTGGAATGATGTAGCTCGTTAAAACTTATTTCAGATCTAAACACTGAACTTAATTTCTTTTATTCTCATCATTTTAGCTCTAGAGTAATTAATTTTCTTCAAATTTTCCATTATTATTCATTCTGGAATGTAGACATTTGAATTTTGCTAGTTCTACAAGACCCACTACTTTCTCCTTCATTCCAAAACACTATAATTATTACTAGATAAGTTTCTAGAATAAGCTTTCAAGCTCCTCATCTGATACAGACGAGGCGATGCTTTAGCTAAAGAAAATTTTACACCACATGAAATCACAAAAGTCCTGCTTTAATGAATAATTACATCGAAGGGATATTCTTGAATCTAGAGGTAAGTCACAGGATTAGTATACTTTCTCAGAGGCATAATTATGTCATTGCTTCCTAATTGTCATACAGATTTTATTCAAGGTGGAAAATATTCTAGAATGAGCCATTAAAACATTTGTAGTTGTTCGTTCAGGAATAATAGCACAAAAATTCATTTTGAATAATTAGAAGGACCATATTTATCTGTTCTATATTCACAATTTGAAGCTGATCTAGCTTGATTAGTGTACATATAAACCCCTTGTAACTTAATGGTTCTTGTAAGTAATAATGATCGCTCTCCTCAAATTTAGCCAAAACTAAGACTCTGTATTATCTCCCAGCAATAAACTTTCACTATGCATTAAAACATGCAGAATATACTCGAAGTCCATCCCTAAGCTGTCCAATACAAAACTCCTCAATTCTCACCCTGATGTCTTCCAAGCTCCCATTTATTCACTAAAGAAATATTTTATAGCACAAAAGTAGAGGAGGGGTTTTGGGGTTTTGGGGTTTTGGGGTTTTGGGG